TTGACAAAGGAGGCAAAACATACAATGGAGTAAAGACAGTCTATTCAATAAATGGTATTGAGAAAACTGGACAGATATATGCAACAACAACAAAAAATGAAACTAGCTTGCCTTCTTACACCACATACCAGAATAAACTCAGGCAGTGTCCTTGGCAGTCCCCCAGGCCTGTCTCTTGCTTCGGCAGTGTGTAGATTTTCTAGCCTCTGACCACTGTCCAACCTCTTTTCCAGTCATCACCAGAACCGCCTGGGCCATCCTCAGTCTCTGAGATCAGCCAACGCCATTTTTTGATCTTAACTCCTCATACGTGAACAACCACAAGCCCCCAAATTCATCAGAATTATTCCACTGAGATGGAGGCTGCCACCAACTGCCTGGCCAACCTGCATCTGCGGGCCTCCTACACCTGCCTCCCTCTGGGCTTCTGTTGCCACCGCTGTGATGTGGCTCTGCCGGACATGGACCACTTCTTCAGAGAGCCAGCTGAGAAGAAGGGCAAGGGCACTGAGTGTCTCTTAAAGATGCAAAACCGACACAGTGGCCGTGTTCTCTTCCGGGACGTGCCGAAGCTTTCCCAAGATTAGTGGGTGACACTCAGGACACCAGGACAGCTGCCTTGGCCTTGGAGAAGGACCTGAACGGGGCCCTTGTGGACCTGCAGGCCCTGGATTCTGCCCACACAGACCCTCATCTCTGTCACTTCCTGGAGCCCCACCTTCTGGATGGGGAGCTGAAACTTTGAGGGGCCCCAGTGGGTCCCCCAGGTGTCTGGCTTCTGCCTAAGCCTCTCCCTGAAACCACAAGTCATCCTTTTAACCACCTTGGAGCGCTCTCCCATGCATCACACCAAATAGAAACAATACAGGTTTTTGCAGGGGGGGGAAAAACCCAGCCAAAAAAAAGAGGAAAGAATAAACTCAAAATGGATTACAGACTTATCTGGGTGTGTACAGGAGGCAACTAATCAGTGTTTCTCTCTCACATTGATGTTTCTCTTCCATCCTCTCTCTCTCTCAAACCAACAAGCATATCCTCAGGTGAAGATTTTTTTAAAATGGATTAAAAAATTAAATGTTAGACTCGAAAACATAAAAATCTTGGAAGAAAACTTTAGAAAAGCTCTAAAATCTAGAACATTTTTTACAGCAATATTTTCTGATATATCTCCTCAGGCAAAGGAAGCAAAAGAAAAAATAAGCAAATGGGACTACATCAAACTTAAAAGTTTTTGCACAGCAGAGGAAGCCATCAACAGAATGAAAGGACTACCCACTGAATGAGAGAACATATTCACCAATTATACATCTGATTAGGGATTAAAATCCAAAATTTGTAAAGAACTTATAAAACTCAACACCATAAAAACCAAACTATCCAATTTGGTTTTCATCAATAAACCAACAAACAAGTATTGGCGAGGATGTGGAGAAAAGGGGAACCTTCATGCACTATTGATGGGAATGCAGATTGGTGCAACCACAGTGCAAAGCAGTGTGGAGTTTCCTTAAAAATTAAAAATGGAACTGCCTTGTGACCCAGCAACTGCAGTTCTGTAAATATATCCAAAGAAACCCAAAACATTAATTTGAAAGACTTATATGCACCCCTATACTCACTGTAGTGTTATTTGCAGTAGCCAAGATCTGGAAACAGCCCCAGTGCCCATGAGTAGATAAGTGGATAAAAAAGCTGTGGTACATTTACACAATGGACTACTACTCAGCTATAAAAAAGAAGAAAATCTTGCCTTTTGCGACAACATGAGTGGACCTGGAGAACATTATGCTAAGTGAAATAAGCCAGTCAGAGTAAGACAAGTACCATATGATTTCATTATATGTGGAATCTAATGAACAAAATAAACTAAAAAACAAAATAGAAAAAGATTCATAGATACAGAGAACAGACTGACAGCTATCAGAGAGGAGGGTAGTTGCAGGGGGCTGGGTGAAAAAAGTGAAAGGATTAAGCAAAAAACCTCATGGTCACACGCAACAACATGGTGATGACCAGAGGGAAAGGGGGGTGGGGGGCGGTGGAAGAGGATAAAGGGGAGGTAAATGGTGATACAAGGAGACTTGACCTGGGGCAGTGAACACACAATACAGTGAACAGATGATGTGTTGTAGAATTATGCATCTGAAACCGCTATCATTTTATTCACCAATGTCACCTCAATAAATTCAATTTTAAAAATTCAGCTATAAAAAAAAGAGTGATTACAGAATGAAATTTAATAGAATTGAAGAACGGCAAGGGAAGTTGAGTAGGCCACCCATGTTTCTGCTGAGACCTCCTCATTTCAGTGAGGGAGAGTACTGGAGTCTGAGGCAGTTAAGTGACGTGCTCAAGGTACCCCGGTTATACTCTAGGTAGTTGCTAACAGAGCTGGAAGAGAAGCCGGATCTCCCAGCTGCTGGTCCCGGAGCCTTTGTGCTGTGCCTCACTGACTCACATAGAGCTTGGGATTTTTAGTCATCTATTTAGACAGAGGCAGCAAGCAGAACCCTGTGAAACAACTCATGAATACTTAAAGGGATTTGCCATCAAGTGTACATGCGTGAAGGAAATCCTGGTGAAGGAATTTGTCAGAGAGGAAAATACTCTTTACAGTATTTGAGTCAAAATTTGGAGAATGAGAAGAGAGACAATATTGCAAGGACGAGGACGAGCAAAGGTACATGTCCACAGGGATGTGTACCTTTAATCCATTTTAAAAAAATCTTCACCTGAGGATATGCTTGGTTTGAGAGAGAGAGAGAGAGAGAGAGAGAGAGAGAGAGTACTGGCGCACAGGAATGGGGCAAGGAGGCAGAGTCCACTTGGCTCAGAGAATCTGTGTTGGCGAGTAACAAGATCGCTGCTTGGTGAGGGAGGAACTGGGAGATGTGGGAAGAACAGAAGAAGGAAGGGTTGGCAGGGTCCGATTAGGCATAGCTGGTAGAGAGTGAAGGGTCTGCTAGATTCTGGTGAGTGAATATAAGCTTCATGAGAGCACTGGTCTTCTTTTGTCTGTGCTGGTTGCGGCTGTATTTTCAGTGCCTAGTCATAGTAAACACTCAGTGCATACTTGTTGAATGAACAGATAAATGAATGAATGACTAAAATACAGGTCCCAACAAAACAAGTTTTTTGACTAACAGGATAATGTGATAGAAGCAGTGTCCAAGAAAGAATATTTTTGCAAGTGTGTAATGGATAGTCTCAATATGTAAAGGAACAGAGACAAATCTACCAGTGTGGAGTGACATGATGAAGACCTGAGTGAGAGTCATAATCACGGGAAGAGAAAAGTCATAGGGCAGAAAGACAATCAATGGGAAGGAAGGACATAATGTGGACCTGGATCTGGAAGCACAAGGACACCTTTTATGAACCAATGGAACTCGAAAACTTCAAAATCATTTGGATTCAAACTCAACTTTTTCACTAAAAATGGACACCTGTGAAATCAAGTACTAATGTTTTTATATTTTGAAATATAAAACTGGCTTAATAATTTGTTATAAAACAATGAACCAACTATAAATTTTTGGTATACTCTGTTATAGCTTAGAAAACACAGAGCTGTTTTTCTAGGGTACCTTTGCAACTATTCTTTAATTGTAGTGACTTTTCACTAAAACATAATGCTGACGGAGAAACTGACTAGAGTCACAATGCAAGCTTATACGTGTCATGAATGGTTCTGTGTAGGACTCTTCCAGTGTTATCGGTCCTGTTTCACAGCCATCCCACACTGTGCTGCTCCCCAGGGCACCCTGCCATTCTGTATGGATTGACTGATGCCCTCACTTTGACCAAGTGTCAGGAAATACACTGAATTGCTTTGATGTGGGGGGAAAAATGTATGAATAGGAACTGGGTGGCCCTGGCTGAGAGCCTCCATCTGTTGAAATGGCCAGGGAAAGAGGAGGTCACAACCCGCACGCGGCTGGGCAGCGGTCAGCTGCTGTTCTCACAGAGGGCGAGCTGGGTGTGCTGGGATGCACCAGTGCGGGGAGAGGCCCAGGGCTGCTCGACACCAGCCGTCATCCCTCAGGGGCAGTTAATTAGACCCCCTGGGTCCTGTGAGTTTGGCCACTGGAATTATCTGTCACCTCCTGGTGTTTTTTTAAAGTGCATTATTAAATTTGTTTCTTTGAAAGGATGGAGCATGATCTGTGGTTTCGGTGTTCCGTGGGGATGGATTGGAGCTGGGCGAGATCCTAGAAGGCATTTAATCCAGTTGCACGGTGCATCTCAGGTGATGAAACAGGCCCAGAGAGGCGAAGAGGCGGCCAGCCATGCCTCGCCCAGGAATGGCAACGCTCGTTGCTGGTCGCAGGACCTAGTCTGCCTTCCGTGCCTCTTTGTGTGTGGATTCTCCCCATAGGTCTTTAACTGCATGCTGCTACTTTGAACAATTTTGATTTCATAAAATATTTTAGTTAGAGCAGTAACTCTGTCCTATAATGTCAGGTCTGACCAATTAAAATATGCTCTAATAATTTGTAAATGTTATCCATGTTTGTCCAAAAGAAGAAAAAAGCTGTGCTCCTGTGAAACCTAATTTTCAAGTAATTCATTTACGTCTGTTTAAAAAGGTAGGCGGTACACTGTCAGCCCTAAAGGTGCAAGGCTGAGGGACATGGTGTGTTGCAACTCAAGTTGACCTGTTTTACTTGGGAAATACAGGTAGTGTGTGGGTGCAATATAGTAATATTGTATTAGGTGTCCCTGACTAAGAAGAAGCCATCATATGCTGAAAAGTTATGTCAGAACATCAATGATGTTGCACACGTCGTTATAGTTTGGCAGCAGCTGTTGTGAAGCTGTAAGGTTAGCCTCGTGCAAAGGCGTCATCTGAGGGAGAGAGCTCTCTTTGCAGCCCAGTCAGACGCGCTGGGTCTCCATGATAACAGTGGTGAACGTGGTACCTGGGTAAAGCTCTGTGATGCTACTTAGCCAGTTCAGTTGGACACACATTTTTTTTTCTTTCTTCATTTCTTCTACAGAAAGACAGACCCACTTGACAAACATGAGGAGCGCAGCCAAGTCCTGGAATCCAGTCACCAAAGCAGGGACCCATGGGATCGACCGCGCGCGGCCCCTTCCCGCAGCCTCGTCTGGCATGAAGAGTTCTAAGTCTTCGACCTCACTGGCTTTTGAGTCCCAACTCAGCAAGGTATCAACTGAGATGCTCAGGGCCAGGAAGTTGGGTGTCCAGCACCCTGCTCGGGAGGACTGAGGAGGGCAGTGAGCAAAGCTAGCAGCCCCCCAGGGCTGGAACAGAGCCTCCAAGGAGGGTCCCGGGGAACCAGGCTGTCCTGATCTAAAGGAGCAGAGCAAAGGGGGTGCAGCCGGGGCACCCGAGGTCGAGAAAGGAAATCTGTAGAATGATTCCCATCAGTGCTGACCCCAGCACCCCACTAGATGGCGGTCCGGGTCGCTAGTGACCCTGGTAGCCCAGCGGCCAGTTCTCTGTCCTTGTCTTATGTGACAGTCAGCAGAGTTAACACTGTTGATGAGGCCCTGGGTCTGGGAATGTCTTCTTTCTCTGTTGTCTCCTCCCTTGGGGCAGCACCTTGGAGCCTCTGCTGCCACCTCGTCCCCCTGCCCTGGGCTTCTAACTTCGGGCGGGCTGTGGGCCCAGTCCTTGGGCCTCAGCTCTTTTCCAGCTGCTGTGTCACATCCAACACCTGGTTTACTGCCCTAAGATGAAATCACAGGTAGCATAATCCACCTACACACACACTTTTGAAGAATTAATACAATATCCCAGCTATAAAAGGATGCTAGTTTATAATTAAGTAATCTGTGTTCCATCTGCATGTGCCTCAGCGTGACTGTGCTGACAGGCTTGTGACGCGCCTTAGGACACCGTGGGGTGACAGCTGCGATGCAGACCGGTTCAGAGTTGTTGTGTCAGGTGCTGTGAAGGACGCCGAGGGAGGGATGGGACTGCTGGGTGCTCTTGGTAAAGCTCAGAACCCACTGCAGTCCTCCCTCGTCACGCTTAGAAAGGTCGGTGGGTCCTAAAACTGTGCATGAAGCGCGCGCTCCCGTCGGGATGAAGCGTTCCACCCAAGTGACTGTCTGCAGAACGGGGGAAAATTGTGGAGCACGTGGGACATTTCTTTATGCAGAAATGTCACGTTCATCGCAGCACATCTAGGTTCCTTGTCCTCCCACATATTAAGTATCAGCACCTCCAATTGTGGTGACAACTAAAAATGTCCCTACTAATTTGTAGCATACTTCCTGAGGGACAACACTGTCCCTGCTGAGAACGGTAGGTGACAGCATCCTTCCCATGAATACCGTATGTTCATTGCATCACATTCATGTCTCTAACCAACCCCGCTCTGGGACACCTTGAATGAAGCACGTCCACATCTGAGCCTTGGCTCTGCCCTGTGCATGGCTCGCTCCCCCAGACCTGCTCCTCCTGAGCCTCCCCATCCGCGTCGAGAGCAGCTCCATCCTGTCGGCTGCGCAGGCCAGAGCCATGGCGCCACCCTTGAACTCGTCTTTTCTCACACTCCGTAGCCCATCAGCAAGATGCCATCACTTCTCCCTTAACCATAAATGTCAACTCCAGCCAACTCCTGCTGCCTCCTCTGGAGCCACCTGGGCCGTGCCACCGCTGTCCCTGCACGGGCTTCCCAGCTGGCCTCTCTGCTTTGTTTGCACCCACATTCCATTCTCAACAGAAGCCAGAGCTGTCCTTTTCACACACAAATCACATCATTGTGGCACTTAAAACCCTCAAGGGGCTCTCCACTCACTCCTTGAAGAGCAAAGCCCTTGGAGTGGTCAGTCAGGCCCGGAGACCCTTCCCCACTCCCTCTCAGGCGGCAGCGCCCTCGCTGCCTGAGCTCCGGCCACACAGCCACGCAGTCTCGTGGTGCTCGGGGATGCTCTCCCTCTGACGCTGTCTCTTGCAGCAGCGTGCTTGCTGCTCTCTCTGTCCACCTCCCTGCTCTGAGTGTTCCTTCCCATTTCACACGTCTGCCATTTCTCCTGCTTTATGTCTAGGCCCAAATGTGCCCCTCTCAGATGCCATCCCTGACCACCTGTGTACAGTGCCCCTTGGCCTCCGTGCGCCCTCCTCAGCCTGCCTTCGGCGCTCACTGCCGTCGCACACACCTGCTTGGGGGCAGCCCTCCCCCGGGGTGTTGTTTGTTGCGTAGCCCTGTCCCTCAGACTTAGCAGAGCAGCAGCCGTGGGGCAGGTGCTCGGGGGGCGGGGGGCAGCATGACCAGGGGCCCTGGCCCGGGGGCAGCACGGGGGGCAGCATGAGGGGCCCTTCGGCCTGTGAAACCTCGGACAGAAACCTCCTGCCAGCCTCTCACCTTCCTGGGGGGGCCCGATGGCTGCTTTGCTTACTCTGCTCTCAGGTGACAGTAAATGGGGCCAAGTGTCTCGCACAGAAACTCATTGATTTTTCTATTATCCTGGACTCAACCATCATTTCTGTGAATTTTGTTTTTATTATCTTTGACCAATAGCACACTTGGGAAACATCTTTAATTTAAATTTCAAGGGATTACATTCATTTCCCCAGTAACAGACCAGGAGAGCCTCTGGAAGCTCAGGAGTGTTTCCTGAGGACGATGAAATGCTGGCTGCCTCTGCTGTTGATAGGGGAGCATTTTGGAGACTTGTTCCCAGCAGAAATGCCAAGGGAAAAGCAGATTCTTGCATTAGAGACTTTGTGCTCTCATTTCTGATTCTTGGGCTCTCCAGGCCTAGGTCCGCGAAAGGGAATGACAGGGTTGAGGAGCAGTGGCAGAAGGAGCCATTTTCACTTTTTCCTTTTGTGAGCTTTCTTGTGCAGGTGCTTGGCAGCTTACATATCAGTACAACCGTCCGGGAAGGTACTTACTAACCCTATCAAAGCAGCACCAAAGCTCATACCTCCACAGGGACCTTCTATGACACACCAGGAATCCCAGGTGCTGCGGAAGCTGCATTCCATGACCAGGAAACAAAGCCAGGCGTCCAGCCGTGAACGGAGGGAGAACAAGGATTAGTAACTGAGACTAGCAGATTTCCGTCTCTGATGTTGCATCCAAAAGAATAGTAACAGAGGAAGAGCGGCTGCAGCTGCTTGCTTTGGAGGGCAGGGAGGGCTGATTCTTGCCTTTATGCCCTGGTTCCTGAAAAAGCTGCTAAGCAATAAGTGTTTCTCAAATGGAGTTCCCTGTGGAAGGTACGGGGGAACTGCCCTGCTCCCTGTAAAAGCTTTTCTTACCCCATGCTGAGAGGTGAGGAGAAGGCACACCGATGGCCCATGGTATGTCTGAGTTGTCCTGCCTAGAGAGGACAGAATCGGCTCTCCCTATGAAAGTGGGGAATCTTCCCACTGCTTGCTGACTCCTGTCCTCCGGTCCTCTGTCCCTCTGTCGCCTTGCCAGCCACCTCACCTCGCCCTGTGGAGGAGTGGGGGAGGCAGGTCTGCCCTCTGGCGCCACGTGAGGCGAGGCTGGGGTGGAAGTGCAGCGCAGCTGTGCCTCTGGCCCGGCTGGGCTCTCGCGGGCTGGGTTCCATCTCTGGTCTGCAGTCTCGGCCTCTGCTCCCTGGCCTCGTGCTGTAATTTGAAAATGCACACTTCTTTGTGCCAGACATCCTGATCTTGGTGACGTCAGAGAATCACAGCGGAAAGCAGAACCGGGTGTGTGTCATTTGCATTATTGCATTAAGAATTCCCTTAGCTGCAGTGATTTCTCTTTTTTTATTTGGGATATTGTCTGGGAGATTTTCAAAACCTAAAATCAGAATAGATTTTCCTTTGGGGATCTACAGAGGTACCTGGACACACTTCTAGACAGAGTAAATAGGGGTTTTTTTCTACTGAGAATGAGTTGCTGACATCATGAGTTGTCATATAAAACATTACACTGGTGATCTGGTGGGTAATTTGAGAGGCTGGAGAGCTTGGGTGCAGCAGCCCTGTTACTCTGACGTGGGAAATAGAAAAATAGCTAGAGTCCCTGTCAGGGCAATCACGTGACCTCTGTGTTAACCCATGGGCCATGTGCAGTCCTGTTGTTACACTAGGGACCCCAAAGTTGGCCAGCACATGTGGTTATATTCACAGCTAGTAACTGGAATGCATGCAAACCATCCTTTCAATGTTAGCTATTTGGGTTTTTTTATTGTTGTTTTTTCAAAACATTTTATTTCTTTATTTTTTTAGAGAGGGGAAGGGAGGGAGAAAGAGATAGAGAGAAACAGGAATATGCGGTTGCTTCTCATGCAGGTTGCCAGGACCTACTGGGGACTTGGCCCAAAACCCAGGCATGTGCCCTGATTGGGAATTGAACCGGTGACGTTTTGGTTCACAGGCTGGCACTCAGTCCACTGAGCCACACCTGTCAGGGCTATTTGTTTCTAAATTAATAATTTTTAAAAGATTTTGACCAAGGCTCCTTGCCTAACACTAAGGCTTTTATCATCTTCCCTCTTAGAAAGTAGGCTCCAGGGACGCATTGTTTAATGAGTTTCAGTTTAGGATCATGAAAAAGTTCTGGACATGGGTAATGGTGATGATTGCACATGGCGAATGTACTTAATGCCCCTGAACTGCAGCTACAGTGCTTAACATTAGGGTGGTTGGTGACATGGGCTGGAAGAGCATTCACAACGAGAAGAAAGTACTGGGTCGAGTTTTACTCACGCTCCAAGAAAGGAGAGGGGCACGGTGCGGAGAGATGCATCAGCCCTGGGGCCGGGGGCACTGAGCTTTCAATGGATTCTAATTGGACTACAAGGGTGGGGGCGCCGCATTGTGGCCCCCGGGCTGTTGGGGTTGTTATACCACAAGGCTGCAGTTGGTTCCAGTGTTATCTTCTGCTGTGGCTCTAGCAAGTGCTTAGCCCTGTTCTTGCTTCCATTGGGGTACAAGCTCAGAAAGGTCAAATGGCAGTCACGTTTAAGAAGGTCGCAGGCCTGCTCGGCAAATGGCGCCACCATAGCAAATGGTGCTGGCTTTGTCCTTTTAGTTAAGATGGTAAATTTTATGTTATGTGAATTTTACCACAATAAAACATTTTTCAATAACAATGGGAGGAAATGGGAAAAAACAGATTAGACCTTGCTAGGGTAGAGCCAAGGCTTTGCCCAAATTACACTCCTCCCAGTTTTCTTTGTCTTTTGTATTGAGGAGTAGCACACCTACAGAAATGTGAAGTGCACTGCTCTTAGTCCCAGCTGTACAGCTCATTGAATTTTTCCATGTGTTTATGTCTGTGTAACCACCACCCAGTCAAGACATGGAACGTTGGAGCACCCGGAAGCTTCCTTCCTACTCAGTAGCTCCGCTAGCAGTAACCTCTGTTTTGGCTTCTATCACCATCACTTACTTTTACCAATTCTTAACTTCATATAAATGGAACCAGGCAGTATAAATTCTTCTGTGTCTCTGGGGTTCCCCCCCCCCCGACTTAGAATGATGTATTTGAGATACATCCACTTACTGGTAAATTCATAATTTTTAAAAACTGCGGGTACTTTCTATTGTAGGAACATTTGGGTTCTAATTTGGGACTGTTATAAATAAAGCTGCTGTGAACATTCTTTTGATGAACCGTGTGCTCGCTCCTCTCGGGGCTGCTGGTTACTAGGGTGCAGCTGTGCAGCTGTGGGAGACATTGCCCGTTTTCCACAATGGTCGCACCAGCGTGCGCTCCCGTGAGCAGAGCCCGAGAGCTTGTTCCACCGCCTCACTGACACTTGCTGTCCGCCTGCTTCTCTTTTTCTGGCTATTCTCGGGGTGTGCAGCACCCTGAAATGTTAACAGTGCGAAAGTGGAGAATGTCTTTTTAAATTGTGAAAATATTTAAACTCCTCATTCTTAGTAAATGACCCAGAAGTCAGTGGAGGAGAGTGGGCCGGGGCCGCCTACTCCATGTCTCAGCTGATTTAAAGGCTTTTACGTACTTTTCTCTACAGATGTCAGATGTATTTGCAATGGCTCTGGGAACCTCCCTGTCTCCAGTGTTCTAGAACAGCAATTTTTAGCCTTTTCCATCTCATGGCACACATAAACTAGTTACTAAAATTCTGTGGCATACCAAAAAAATTTGCTTTTTGCCTATCTGACAAAAAAAGACCAAACCAAACAGGTATAATTTTGATTCATTTACACCGGATGATAACCATTATGTTGACTGTTGTCATTTTTTAATTTGACAATCTAAGGGAAAAAACATCAGTGCCCCTGACTAAATAGTCAGGCACTGCATGATTTAAAAATTCTTGTGGCTCACCGGTTGAAAATCACTGTCCTAGAACTATTCCTCTTCAGCAATATTCTTTAAAGAACACTTACAATAGTTGGGAAAACTTATTTGTAGTTTTTCTCATTAAGCTTGAATGTAATTTTCCCAGACCAGACATGTGATATCATTTAGGGGTCCCTCCTCTTTTTTTTTCACCAGCAGATGAAATAGTTTCATTTCACTGTTCTTTTATCCTTTTCATTGAATTTACTGGGATGACACTGGTTAACAAAATTACACAGGTTTCAGGTGCACAGTTCTACAACACATCATCTGTTCACTGTATTGTGTGCTCACCACCCCAAGTCAAGTCTCTGTCCATCGCCATTTGTCCCCTCTACCTCCCTTCACCCCCCCGCCACACTCAGCTATCGCCACGCTGTTGTCCATGTCCATGAGTTTCTCCTTTCTGGCTCAGTCCCTCCACCACGGCCCCGAACCAGCCGCAGGCCCCACCCCAGACCGCTGTCAGCCTGCTCTCTATGAGCCTCTCTCTATTTGGCTTATTAGTTCAGTTTGCTTGTTAGATTCCACATATGAGTGAAATCCTATGGTACTTGTCTTTTTCTGACTGGCTTATTTCACATAGCACAATGCTCTCCAGGTCCATCCATGCTGTCGCAAAAGGTAAGATTTCCCTTTTTTTATGGCCGAGTAGTATTCCACTGTATAAATGTACCACAGCTTTGTTTTCCACTCATCTACTGATGGGCACTGGGACTGCTTCCAGATCTTGACTATTGTATGTAATGCTGCAATGAACATAGGAGTGCATATATTTTTTGAATCAGTGTTTTGGGTTTCTTTGGATATATTCCCAGAAATGGACTCACTGGGTCATAAGACAGTTCCATGTTTAATTTTTTGAGGAAACTCCATACTGTTTTCCATGGTGGCTGCACCGGTCTGCATTCCCGCCAACAGTGTTCCCCTTTCTCCACATCCTCACCAGCAATTGTTGTTTGTTGGTTTATTAGCCATTCTTACAGGCATGAGGTTATATCTCATTGTGGTTTTAATTTGTATTTGTCTGACGATTAGTGATGTTGAGCATTTTTTCATATGTCTATTGGCCATCTGTGTGTCCTCTTTGGAGAACTGTATATTCAAGTTCTCTGCCCATTTTTTAATTGGATTGTTTGTTTATTTGATGTTGGATTGTATAAGTTCTTTATAAATATTGGATAGTAACCCCTTATCAAAATGTATGGGCAAATATTTTCTCACATTTAGTGGGTTGTCTTTATTTTGTTGATGGCTCCCAAGACACTATGTTCTTTACATAAAAATATTAGTACAGGTAACTATACTTTCTAGAATATGATTACACAGACCCCCTCAAAGAAAAATGCATCCTAGTACATGGTTTCAGTGACATTGCTTGGGAAAAAGTCTTGCCTGGTCTGATTCCCAAAACGTAGCACCCCACCACTGCCTCTTCTGGTTCAAAGCATAGATCCTTGTCCCCAGGAGAGGCTCCTGTGTTCTTCTTCCACGTTGGACAAAACACATATAGACAGGAGTTGTCATATAATGCCTTTTGCGCAGGTTCGTCGGTAGGTTGAGCAGGCGGTGCCACTCTGTGGCCTTTCTTCAAGGCCCAGGAATGGAGACACATCATCACCTTCACACATTGTGAACTCCAAGTCTTTACAGCAAGGCCAGTGGAAGTGTTATTTGTAGCCAGGTCCTGTTCTTCAGGAAGCATCTCCCTTAAAGCACAGAGACCATGCTTAACCAGTTCATTCAGATTGCACTCCATAAGCTCAGACACATGTCTCTCCAAGCAAGTATGGGCTCCAGTGGACATAGCTCTGCAGTCAAAATAGTTAGCAGGTGGGGAGGCTTGGAAAATGTGACAACCCATATTATCAAACCAGCAATGAGCAGCCCAGCACCATGTGGTCTTCGGCCATGCCTTTGCATTGTATCTGGCTCTAGCTTCCAATTAGAAACAGAAGACAAGACACAAGAAGTCTGTCAAATACAAATCTGGAATCCCAACACTCCTGGCGTACAACGTCACCTATGGTTCTAGCATCAGCCCGAGTCCCGAAGTTGAGGTACCAATATGGTTGTCAACAGGGAGAACTTTTCCTGGGAGCTGCAGGCTCTGGCTGTGCTCTCTCCAGTGCCCCATCGCCTCTCTCTTATTCAGCCCAGAGGGGGCCCCTCTCAAACTTCAATTTCTTGCAACAAATGTTTGCTCTCCCTTTTCATGACAGAGAAGAAAGCAGAAAAGGAATGAGGGGGTTCTGCTCTCTTTCTTTTGTTCATTAGCAGTGTTCTCTGGCCTCCAGAACAGTTCTTTTCTTCCCTTTGAACATGCTGTCCGTGTGAGATTGTATACAGAGTACTTGGTGTTGGGTAGACATTCAGGTCTTCTATATCTCTTCTCTCTGCTTCCTCCAAACATATATTTTAATTATTTAAAGTTAATTCTCTTGTTCTTGGATTTTTTTTGTGTGTGTGTGCATTGCTGTGTCCTAACTTTTGCATATCTCATAACTCTTTTTTCATCAGCTCCCATTCTTCTACAAAATTTTTCCAGGAAAGCAGGGTTTTTGAGAATTCATTATTTATAGTGTGGCATGATAAGTAATGTTCACCCGTAACCTTACAGTATTCTTTGAAATGGTGATGGAAGGCCGTCCTTGGGCCTCTCTGTGACGACACAGGTCGTGCTCCTGCAAGAGCTATTGCTGTGTCTAGGCCCTGGGTGGGCGGGGCTGCTCGGCCACTCACGTGGCCTATAGTTCTCCTCACTGAATGTGTATCTCTTCCTCCTCTCTTTTCCCCTCCACCTCTCTCTTAGCTCAAGAGGGCCAGTAGTGAGGACATGCTCAACAAACCAGGAAGTACCACCGCTTCCGGGGTAGTTCGACTGAAAAAGACTTCCACAGCGGGAACCATCTCTGAGCTCGCTGAGAGCCGCCTGAGGAGCCACCCAGGTAGGACGCACCCCGGTCAGAGGGCTCGTGTCCGAGGGGCCCCGGGTGGAGGAATCCAGGCCCGTTCACCTAGGCCGTGTGAGAGCCCTTCAGTGATGGATGGGTCCCTTCCCTGTCAGATGTGGATTGAGCACTTAGTCTGAGCCTGGACCTGTTTTAGGTACAGACACGCTGCCCCCAGCGGTTTATATCCAGTGGGGGAGAGAAGAGACAGCAAAGGCCATGGGGGGGGTCTCGTGGTTCCCACTGCCCTTGTGGTTGTTCGTCTGTCACCATGAGTGTGTGACATCCAGGTGTATGTTCTGGGGCTGTCCTGGTGTGTCGTGCATGGGATGAGTGAAGGAGCCAATCCTGCAGCCCCCACAGGTGCAGGGCACAGCGTTCCGTGGGAAAGGGGGACAGTCATCACATAGTCACTTAGGTGGCAGTGGCCACTGGGACAGTGAACTTTCTCAGTGTTACTCTCTTTTTGAGAAACAGAAAAGGTTTTTTAACTATTATATTTGAGTTCAGAGCATGAGAAACTTAAAACAGCAAAGAACAGAGGAGTGACATCAGAGAAATGGCAGCATGAGAGGTTCCCCTGGTCTCGCCCCTTGAAGTTACAATAATTTGAACAACTATTATCCAAAAAAGGATTCCCTGCTCAAAACCCGAACATGTCTGAGAGGTCCATACATTGAAACATCTAAAGGTGGGCCAGTCAGAGAGAACAGAGGAGGTGGGAAGGGAGAAGGGCAGAAACAGGTGGCACAGTCGCAGCCCAGAGCTCACTGCAGGTCCTGGGAGAGGGGAGGATCAGGTGGCTGCTGCACTTCCTGCACCAGGAGGCGCAGAGAGGTACAGTGAGGTGAGGTGAGCATTCCTGATGCAGCGGTTGTATGCACTGCGCCTGAACCCAGTGAGCTGGGCAGAGATGGAGTGCACAGGTGCCATCGTGGTTGTCTGGTGGCTGCCACTGCCCGGCAGATGAACAAAGCTGCAGAGCCTGGCTGCCTCCCCTCACCCGCCCAGAGAGAGCAGCAGGCCCCAGGAGGAGCTGGGGCAGTGAGTGTTGAGCTGCAGAGCACATTACCCGCAGCCCTGAGAGCCGGAGAGGCAGAGCCGCTTTCCCCCAAGCAGCAGGGGCACGCTGCGCTGATCCCAGGGATGGGGTGAAGATACAAAGGGGAGGCAGCTGAGGTCCAGTTGCCGCCATTACTGGGAGGTGAACAAATTCACAAATGCACCAATAAGCCTCTCCCAGCTCACCCCATCCCCACCCACAGCTACCGGGGACAGCACTAGGATCTCACAAGCTTGGAGCCCTGTCGCCTACCACATTCCCTACGTGCGTGTAGCCCTGAAACCAAGGCAACCTGGCCCACTCTCGGGGCAATATGGGGCATTTTCTTCCATCCCTCACAGATCCAAGAAGCCAGGGTTATGCAAGAGAAACTTAAAAACTTGTGCTTCAGTGCCACCTACTGGAAAACAAAAGAAAGATTTCCTCTTAGCAAACTACTAAACAGAGAAGTACCACTGTTTAAATAAAAAGAAAAGCAAAAATTCCAGTCAAAGTGTGGCATAGGTAAATGTGGTTCTTGAATCCTCCCATAACCACATCAAGATTACAACTAAACTACAGAACAGCCGTCATGGAACCCCCTGAAATCTACCTGAATGCCAGGCCTACAACTAGGGAGTTAAAGAAGCAACGTGAGTCTGGTAGAAGGGGTAGAGACATGGAATGGGATGGTCCCAAACCTATTCGTGCTGGATAAAATCAGGAGGGATATCTCTGCTGCCAAGGTCCCCCTGAGGAGCAAGGGGTCCCAGCCCCACAGCAGGACCCCATCCCAGGGTTCCAGTGCCAGGAAGAGAAGTCCCCAAAACTTCTGGCTGTAAACACCGGGAGGGGATTGAGGTTGAGGAAGATGATGGTTTCTGGAGTCCTAAGCAGTTCCTCTTAAAGGGCTTGTGCACAGACTTGGACTCACTCCTTCTGAACCCAATACTGAGGCAGCACCTCAAAAGGCACAAGGGACATATGGGAAGAACTCAATTGTCTGGCATCAGGGCAAGAGCTTGGGGGATGGGGTGCAGCTTTCTGTCAGACAAAAGTGCTGGCAGAGGCCATTGTTCCTTTTCTGAGACCAGCCCACACCCAGAGCTGGCAGGTGGGTGCCATATCTGAGTCTCCATCAACCTGGTAAACACTGCCCCATCCAACTTGTGGGCCCACCCCATGCTGTTTTTCCAGTGGTTATTCCATACAAATGACCTGTCTTGGCTTATGCTTTAGACATTTCTAAAATCTCTCAAACAAGCATCATTTGACCTCAGCGTGCCCCATACCTCTCACCAAGTGGACCCCAGCCCGGCACTAGCAACAACCACCCTTGGTTTATAGCATGGCTTCTCCTGGGGACCTCCAAGCCCAGCACAATTACAGCCATCGGCAGACTGCTCTGTAGGTCATGCCAGGTGGCCCTGGGAAGAACACAGGTGGTCGCAGGCCTTGGCCTGTACCTCCCAGAAGGTCCAGAGCCAGCGCATCCCATGGACAGCTTCAGACCCCATCAAAGCATTGCCATCCAACCACCTCCACAAGCAACACATTCAAGGGGAAGACTCAGCAGGCACCAGAGTCCTGCTGAAGTAAGTCCTGCTCTATGGGTTGGACCCCTGCACAGCTGATATGTCCCAATAATTGGTAGTTGCAACCAGTCCTTGCAGCTGAGGTAAGTCCCTCCCAATGATGTAGCAACAGCAATCAAGGATCAACTACAACAGGAAGGTATACACATCCCACACAGGGTGGGGCACATTTGGAGTGCCCAGCTTGGGTGACCAGGGAGGCTGTGCCACTGGACCCCACAGAGCACCTACTGTATAAGGCCACTCTACCAAGCCTGACAGACGTAGCAGCTCTACCTAACACATGGAAGGAAACACAGGGAGGCTGCCAAATTGAGGAGACAAAGAATATGTCCCAATGAAAGCACAGAACAAAACTCTATGAAAAGAACTAAGCAAAATAGAGACAAGCAATCTACGAGATGCAAAGTTTAAAACACTGGATACAAGGATGCTCAATGAACTTAGCAAGAATTTCAACAGCATACAAAAGGACACAGACAACGTAAAAAAGAACCAGTTATAAGTAACAGATACACTAACTGAAATGAAGAATAATTTACAGGGAATCAACAATAGAGTAGATGATGTCGAGTATCAAATAAGCAGGTTGGGATAAGGGAGAAAAAACACCCAATCAGAACAGCAAGTATAGAAAAGAATCTAAGAAAATGAAAATAGTATAAGGAGCCTTTGGGACAACATCAAACATGCCAACATTCATATCATGGGAGTACCAGAAGGAGAAGAGAGAAAGCAAGAAATGGAAAACCTATTTGAAAAAATAATGACAGGAAACTTCTCTAACCTGGTGATGAAATAGATATAGAAGTCCAGAAGCACAGAGAGTCCCAAACAAGATGACCTAAAGTGGCCCACACCAAGATACATCATAATTAAAATGCAAATGGTTAACACAAAGAAAGAATCTTAAAAGAAGCAAGAGAAAGGCACTTACCTACAAGGGAGCTCCCATAAGACTGTCAGCTGATTTCCCAACAGATATTTGAAGGCCAGAAGGGATTGGCAAGAAATATTCATAAAGATGAAAAGCAGGGACCTACATCCAAGATTACTCTACTGAGCAAAGCTATCATTTGAAATCAAAGGACAAACAAAGAGATTCTCAGACAAGAAAAAGGTAAAGGAGTTTATCATTACCAGACCAGTATTACAAAAAATGCTAAAGGGTCTTATTTAAGAAGAAGAAAAAATACAGCAAATATGAACAATATAATGTTAATAAATACATATCTATCAACAATAGAACCTAAAAAGCAAAATAAGTGAACTAACAATACAAACAGGCTAATAAACACATAGAACATTTTGACAGTTGCCAGATAGGAGGGGGGTGGGAGGGATGGGGGGATGGGTGAGAAAGGTGAAGGGATTATGAAGTACAAATTACTTGTTACAGAATAGTGATGAGGATGTGAGGTAGAGCATAGGGGATATAGTCGATAATATTGTAGTATCTATGTATGGTGTCAGATGGGTACAAGATTTACATCTGAAACCAATATCATATCTCAACTGTAGTTGAAAAATTAAAAAACAATTTAAGTAAATAATGCATGTATATTTAAAAAGCAGGTTTCATTCCCATAGATGCCTAGGCAGAGAAGGAATCCATCAGTTACTCTGAATAACCAAGTTAGTGAGGAAGCTCAGACAGAAAATGAAAACTCTCCAGAAAATAAAGACAGGGAAATGTGATATAAATGACAGGGAATTCAAGATTGCAGTTCTGAAAAAATTCTACGAGCTATAAGAAAATATATATACACAGTTTAATGAAGTCAGAAATAAAAATCAATGAACAAAAAGAACATTTTATCAAAAAGATTGAAACTTTTAAAAAGAACCAAACAGAAATTTTGGAGATGAAGAAATCAATGAAAAAAGATAAAGAGTGAACTAGCATGCTTAGGTAATAGAACTGAACAGATGCAGGAAAGAGTGATACTGAAGATAGAAATCTAGAAATGATGCAGGTGGGAAAAGAAGAGACTTCAGAGGGGAAAAAAATGAAATAACTCTACGAGAACTATCTGACTCCATCAGAAAGAGCAATATAAGAATAATGGGTCTACTAGAAAAATAGAGGAAGAAGGTATTAGGAGCGTATTCAAACAAATAGCTGATGAGAACTTCCCAAACCCATGGAAAGAACTAGATCCTTGAATCCAAGAAGCCAGCAGAACACCTAACAATCCAAATCCAAAAAGGCCATCTCTAAGGCGCATTATATTAAAACTGTTCAAGATTAATGATAAAGAAAGAATTTTCGAGGCAGCTAGGAAAAAGATGAAGGAAATCCCATTAGGTTACTGTCAGAATTTTTCAGCAGAAACCCTACAAGCTAGAAATCATATATT